TTTTTTTAATTTTATATATTTTATTGTAAATGTTTACATAATATATTATTTTAAGATTTTTTGACTCTACAATAAAAATATATAATGATATATAAAATAGCATTCTGATAAAAAAGATTTAAAAATAAGAAAAAAAGAGATTTAAAAAGAAATAATGATATGTATGAATTCAAGATTGATAATGTTATATAAAAAAGATTATAGTTTCTTTTAGATTCTAGATTTATATTTTTTGTTAACATCGATATTAAATTTATTTATTAAAATTATGTGAAAATTAAGATGTTGACTTTCTAATAAAATATCTATTAATTTTGATTAAATTTGTAAATAATATTGAAAAGCTTTTTAACTTTGTATAAAGCGGATAAATATACTTAGATAACTTGTAATTTAAATTTATTTTTGAACTAAAAATCAATGAAGAAAATGTAATCAAAAAAGATCTTTGATTGAAAATGTGCAAACATAGGTTATTACAAACTAAAAAATCTATACCTTAACAATTTTGATTATGATTTGAGCAATAAAAAAAAATACTTAAATGATTTATTAAAAAAGTTTCTATTCAAATAATAAAATTGAAGGGAAATTAAATGTGTTTTACTTAAACCTAAAATATCTATATTAAAATTATTAAAAAAGTATTAATTTGTTATAAGGTAATATCTAAAGAACAATTTTTAATATTATAGGTAACAAAAGAAATCAAGTTTAGGTTATTAATAGTATTAGAAAAAGAGTTATTTGAAATAATAATATTATTATTAGAAGTTATATATATTAATATTTAATCATTATACATTTATTTGGAAGAAGATGAAATCGTTTGAAAGATCTGTTGAATAGTATTAGTAATATGCTTAATTTCTAATTAGGATTCAGCAAATTAATTTTCTAAACTGATAACTTTTCTAAAGAAGGAATGTTATTTAAAGAAATATTTAAAGTTTAAATAGAAGTAAGATTATATGAAGGATTAGTTAAGTCATCAGAATTCATAACTTTTTAATAATTAAATAATAGTCAATATCTTCTTAATTCTTTTGAAAAATAATAATTTTATTTTTAGTGATAATAATGTTATTCAGCAAGTATTGTTAGTTTATTATCAATATTATTTAATTTTTTCAAGATATTTTTCAATACAGATACAATATTAGTAGCAATATAATATTGATTATGATTTTTAGTATCATTTTTTAATATATTAGCATATGAATCTTTGGGTATTTGATTTAATCGTTAATTTGAAGTATAATTATTAAAGTAATTATTAGATTTTTGAAGTGACCTGTAAAAAGCAGATTTGAAATGATCATATAATTAATAATAAGGGTTTAAAGATTTATGAAATGAATAATCTTTAGCTTTGTGATCTAGATTATCATATCAATGATAGTGTAGTGGAGCTGGATTAATCCAAATAAGATAATTGATTTAAATTTATAATAAGAATTAAGTGCAATATCATAATCCTCTTGATTGCTAAAATTAATATAAACATATAAGCAATTGCAGTATTGAAGGTCTTATGGTATAAAGCAGAATTTAGCTTTAATATTATTAAGAAAAGTTAATAAGTTTCATTAAATTATATTAAATAAAAAACCAGTTAGTTTTAATTTAAATTATTGTCTTAATATTAATTGTAAAATGTAAAGGTCTATTAATTTAATATAGATAATGAAGTTAAATAGAGATAAAGATTATACATTATCATAAAAGGGTTTAATTGAATCAGATAATTTATATATTATAAAAGCAATTTACCAGTAGTTTCTAGTAATCATTTAGAATCTAAAAATTGTGTCATATTGTTGAAAAAGATTTTATATTACATTTGATTGACAAAAAGGAGAATGTTATTAACTCTGATACATATTCTTTTTTTGACATTAAGTCTTTATTTTTTTACAGCTAGATTAGCAATTATAAATATGAGATTTTCTGAACTTTGGTGATAACATGTGTTAGTTAATCAAGAAAGTAAAAGTATACAAAGAATTTTCTTAATTTAAAATTATATGATATATCTTGAAATTCAGAAAAGTTAATAAATAGCCTGTTAATAAAATTACATTTATCAGCAATAAATTTTTTAGTGATATCTGTAGTATCATCATTTGATGCAAAAAAAATGCATTAAAGAAGTAATAATATTGAAAAAATTTCTTCTATGTCTTTGTCACCTGATAGGTTAAATTTGTTTACATTATTTTCTACTTGATCAAACTAAGAAATTTGTTTATTTTTGCCTTTATTTATTAGAAAAATAGAAAAGATTTATTTTATTATGATTATTATTTACTTTTACATACATAGAGTCATTAGTGTTAGAGTCTAATTTTATAAGTGAAAAGGTTTTTTTAGTTACATTTATTTCTATTTCATATTGTGACTAGGTGTTGATCTTGAAGATTATAGATTTGCAAATGTATAGTGAAATATAAAATGTTAAAAATATTAAACATATTTAACATATTTAATATATTTAATATGTTTAATATAACAGATATATTTAATATAATTAATATAGTTAATATATTTGATATATCAAAATATATAATAAAATTAATATAAATACAAGCTCTTTATAAGTTAAAAGATAAATTGATAACTGTATAGAAATCTCTCTTATAAAGATAGTGTAACGCTACTCTTATACTTTATGTATTCCTCTTGTTTACTTTATTTTTCTTATATTTATTATATCTTATTATCTTATTATTTTTCTTTTTTTTAATTAATTATTTCTTATTTCTATTGTAAAACTCTCTGTAATTATTATAAAAGCCTTAATCTGTAACTGATATTCGTGTTTAATAAATTTAATCTAATTTGATAAAGCTAGTAGAAAAGTAACTAAAATTAGTATAAAATTGATTAAAATTATATATATAAACTATAAAAGAGTTAATTTTTTAACACTGTGTCTAACAGTTGCAATCTGAAAAGATTATACGTTAATAGTATATTTCTGATTCTTCATAATGAAGTATACTATAGTAGTATTAGAAGTGGCTTATGTAAGAGTTAGTTTTAGTTTGATAATATTAGGAGTTTCTGTTTCTGTTAAAATATTATCAGTTTTTAGTAGTTTGAGTTTTTGTTTTTTAGTTATTTTATTGATATTTTCTTCGCTTTTATTTTTGTTATTATCTTTAAAAATAAGACAGTAAGTTCTTTATTATTATCTAAATTATTTGAAATACTTTTGTTATAAGGTTTAGATTTTTTCATAATTGCTTTGTCTTCTTATTATTAGTGACATATTGATAAGAAGATTAGCAAAGAGAATTACTTAGGAATGATTCCTTTATCATTTTAATTAAATAATATTTTATTATTTCTAAGGAACGATTTCTTTATTATTTTTTTGAAATGATATATTATCATTCTAATTGAATAATTTTTTTATCATTCTTTTGAAATGATATATTATCATTCTAATCGAATAATTTTCTTATTATTCTTTTAAAATGATAATATGATTTTGAAGGATTTTTGAAGTAAAATAGATCATATTTTTTTAATTTATTCTTTTTTTTAAAAAATAACAATATTATGATAATAAATATTTAAGATGATTTAAAAGGATTTTAGGATGAATATAGATTATATTTTTATTATTATTTTATTATTTTATATAGATTTTCATTTTTTTGCTTATATATTTTAAATAGAAAATTAATCAGTGAGTTTAGTAATATATTTGTTATATTTTAGTGAATTATATTAAGTTTTAATTATTAATAAAATTTTAATATTTAATAAATTTAATAATAAAATATATCAATTTTTATATACTTATTTGACTGAATTGATATCAAATTGAGATTAATTTTAGGCTAATTTATAATTGTTTCAATTCTGAATTGATTCTGAATTGATGCTGAATGATTATGTTTTATTAGAGTTGATCAGTATGTATTTGTATTGATTAAAAAATATGATAAATCAGTTGTAAATAGTATCAAAATTGGTCTAAAATCAGTCATCCAATTTTTAGCCAATTTGGATTATTTTAACTAGTGAATAATTATATTCAAAAGAATAGAAATTGATATTTAATACATATATTATAGATTATTTTTATAAATTGGTAATATATTACTATAATTAAAAAGTAAATTCTAAAAGATTTATAAAAGAATTATTACTTTTTTTTATATTAAACTTTATTAAGTTTAGGTTTTAATAATTGAAAAGTTTGAGGATAATAATTTTTTAATTCATATTAATTTTGCAATTTACTATTAAATATTTAATATTTATAGATTTAAAATTAAAAAATTAAAGTAATTTATTAAAGAATAATCATTTATACTTTTTATACTTTTTTTTATAAATCTTAAATAATAATAATAATAATTAAAATTATAGTTTTTTTTTTTACCAACTTTTTATAAATACATCCTATATAAGTTACATCCTTTTTAATTGTACTACTTAGCTTAGTCTTGAGGTGATAATATTAAAAGTTATTTAGACATTAATTCCTTATATTAGATAAATTATTTTCACTAAAACCAATGGATTATATTTATGAAGTTTTAGTACTAGAAGCAGCAATTAGACTGATTCAGATAGTAATATAACTTTAAAATATACAAGAGAAAATTTGACTAATAGCATAATTATAATGATTATATTATGACCGTATAAAATATAAATATTACACGTGACATTAATATAATCAAAAAGTGCCGACTTAATCAAAAAAGATACATTGTGTGATGTCAGCAATACAATAATTTTTTTCTCATTTAAACCCGTTTTTAAACCTGTTTTAAAACAATTTCATTTTTTGAATGTAATATGTTAACCAATGACAGTTTGTATCAACTATATAAATTATGATTGCTTTAAAAACGTAAAAATTGTAACATTTTATTTTGTTACGAAATTTAAATAATTGTTCAAGAATCAAAATTCAAGAAAATAAATAATAAAAAATATCCTAAGACGATAAAAACAAATCGTCATAAATAAATACATTAAACCTCATCTTTTAAAATTTGAAATACTTCATAATCTTCTATTGAAAAGTTGTCTTGCGTATCTCTTATCTGTTTTTCATATCCATCTTGATAGCAATAATTATAATTATAATTTCCTTTATCCGTGCTTGATACATAAAGATCATTACAAAAGGAAGGACCGCAATGATCGTAATAAAATAATGCTACTTCTTTGATGTCTACATGACTTATAATTGGATTTTTTAAACTTTTCGTATTCTTGAAAGAGAATATGAAACTATCATTGGTTTGACCCCATTCACCACGGATATTAGTAGATATAGATTTCTGCCATATTGAAGGATTATATCCTCCAAGAATTTCGTTTGTTTCCTTCACTTTAATGAACGTAACTGTATGAGGGATATTGTCACACAATTCATGGAACCTTTTAGGAGTTAACCCATCTTGACTTCCCCTTAATAATAATTTAAATTTATATGGTAAATATAACTCTCTTGCGTAAATAAATTTGCTTTTAATATCTAATTTATCAATCCATCTTGAAATTATGGAAGCAACATTTAAATCCACAATCTTTGTATCGATAATTTCATTATCATCTCTACACCTAGGGAGCAGAATACCTTCACCTGGCTCACTACTAGGATTCAAATAAGAGTTTAATAAATCCTCATAAAGTTGGGGATTTAAAAGTTTTTTATAAGGGTGAACCTTTTGGATGAATTCTTCGGAGGATAAACTAAAAAACCTAATCAAGGGTAAACAATTTTGTAAAGTACTTTTCATTACTTTGAAATCATTATCCGACCAAGTGAAAGGATCCGGAATGAGCGTAGGATGTTTTACAAGACCCCATTCCAACAGATGTTCCCAAATTTCAACTTCTTTCATAAGAAAATTGTCCTTTTTAATAAGTGAAATTAAAGATTTTTCGGAAAGCGAAGTAAAGTCAAGTGACCTAAACACTTTTTCGGGTGATTTGTCCATCAAATCCGTGCAAAATTGTTGAAGCTCCAATAAAGAATTCGATTGAAGGCTCGTCCTACAGATGAACTCAAAATTTTTCTCCATCCATTCTGATTTGTTTTCAATTAAATACTTTTGCAAGTATTCAACTAATTCCAGGAGGAGAAGTTCATTGGAAGTGATCAAAACTTTCAAAATATCCAAGGGTTCATATTCATTTAATGAAATGATCCCACCATAAATATATCTACATCATTATTATTTGAAGTATAAGATAAAATAACAAATGTTTGTCTTTTTTTTAAAAAAACATAACGTACTTTAAAATACTTTGAAAGATTTCCGGTAAAATATTTGGCAGTTTAATATGAGTTAGGGTGTCGTCAGTATCTTTTTTATTGGCCAAAATTCGTCGTAAAAATGGAGAACGGTGACACAGAATAATCTTGTGCGCGCGGTAATTTTTCACGTTTTTTCCTTTTCCAACTTCGATTGTAATGTCATAATATTCACCATCTTCTAAAATTTCAATATAATTTTGACTTAATTTAGAAAAAAATTGTGCCGACATTTATATATATTCAATGAAAAAGTTAATTTCAAAGAAATGAAGAATGAAAAAAAAGGAAATCGCAAAAAAAAAAAAAAAAAAAAGTTATTTATATTGATAAAATTTCAAAAAAAATTCTCTCAGATCAGATAACCATGTTTATGATAGTTGATACGAGACTATTCCCAAGATATAATTCAACAATCGAATTCAGGATGCTTTTATTTATGGCGAACAAGATGTCAAGTCATTTCGGTTAGAATCATTGCGTTGACATATGATCAGCATAAAATCGGATTCGTCAGAAGATCTGCATATTGTTTTTTCTTTAAAAAAAAAGATAAGCATCGACTTAAAAAATGCAAACAAAATTTGAGAGAATTTTATTAAATTAATGGCTATATTATCTTTATTTATAAATCTTTTTTTAAAAAATATTAAATACGTTCGACAAAATCTAGTATTGAAGAATTAATAGAAATTACTTTAACATTAAAAATCTCGAAAGATGAGATTTACGAAAGATGAAGCATTATCTCAGGATGTTTTGTAAAGTTAATAAAGTCTTTGCAACTTTTGCTTTAATGGTCAGATTTGATTGTTGGACTGTTTTGTTTGTATAACGATATACTTCTGCTTATATGCATTCAATTATCTACTGATCGTATCCCAACAAATTACAAACTCATTCATATCTTTTTTTGTGCTCGGTATATGGAAGGTCATTATCCTGGTCGTTCTTTCACCTTTCCTATCAGTTGTTAGAATGTGGATTTTCCTATAGGACATGACAAGATCGTATGTTTCAAATCACTGAAATATTTGTTGTTTAGCCTGAGGTTCCTCCCAATGTTCAAATGCAATCTGGTAAAGTGGTGGCTTTTTCTTTAATATTTTTGAAATTCGCTCGGGGGGGGGGGGGGGGGGCATTTTTTTCTTTCTTTTACCGCATTGATATCTATAAACAGCTATTTTTATTTTTTTCATATCATAAAAATGCCCGAAAGTGCATTTAATTGCCGCCAGAATGAGCTTATGAAATTGGATATTCAGACATTCGAATATGCAATGATATTCAAATATTATAATATGACCATGGCGAATATTGTTCATACATGTATAAGCATTAATAAAATATTTGAGAGATTCGCGAACATTTTCGATATCAGATATTCGAATTTCTATTTGAATTTCGAACGGGCTCTACGCCGGAATATTAACAAATTTCTCCCCTCGCGTGGTTATCTATTTCATTACTTGAATAAAACTTTGGGTTATACTAAAATATCAACATAGAATCAAGCATAGATTTTCAACATAAGCACCCTTCGCGCAATGACTCTATTTTTTTCTATTTGGCATTCCAATATTTTTGAACATAATTCCATACTATTTCCCGATATAATTTGTATCAAAATTCAATTATGAATCAGTGATTTGATCATATTTTAACGGTCTGTTTAAATTTTAAATTCTAGTTTGTAGAACCGAACCCAAAACCGACTGATTATATAGTATATGATAACCAAGCTGGTCTACACTGTTAAATTAAAGTAAATTTAACAATTAATTGATAAATAAATTTAGGAAGTAGACCTTGGTGCAGAGACCCGGAATTATTCCATTTTTATAATTAATGAATAAAATGGAATAATGGAATAAAACGGAATTTTTATGAATTTTAATAATTTTATTCCGACACGTGACAACCAACCAATCGTTATTGTAGTATTCTTGACTTTATCGTGATGGAATTTGTAAGAATTCCGGTAAATGTCAATCATTTTGATCATTTTTGGCCAAAATTATTGTCGTGTCACTATCGTAACTTAGATCAGCCTGCATTAAGATGTGAGCCGGCTAGAATTATCAAATGTTTCTTACCATAATTGGTAATTTTTATCGGAATTTTTCCGGGTCTCTGCCTTGGTGACGGTAGTATTAAGAATGATCGGCAAAGTCACGTTACCGAAATGATCTTCCAATCAAATTCCTCCTCATTTGTTTATATAATAGTGCGTTATTCCCCGTTATTTTATTTTTTTTTTTTTCTCACTCGCTTTCCCTTACGAAATAACAAGCTGAGAGTTCCGTTTTACAACTCTATGTTTGCTTCTTTTTTATGGTACATTACATTCTTAAAATAATTGCTGCTTTCAATGGGTGTGAAATTTGTATGAAGTATCAGACGAAAAAGAAATGACGTCGCACGGGATTTTTTTTCTTCCTGATTTATTTGCTATTTTTCGTTTCTTTATCAGATATAGATAAATTACATTATACGAAATTAAGAGAAGAAATTGTATGGACGTGTTTTTTGGCGACGAAATTTTTTGTGGATTGGGTTTGCCTTAGTTTTTTTTTTTTTTTGTCACTTTACTAACGCGTTTAATTTTTACTGGATTATGAAATAATAATAAATGGCTCGCGTGTATCTATGAGATAATATAAATGTGCTTATATAAACCGGGTTTTACAGTACAACTCTTGGATCTTAAAACAATGGAAATAATTTTGGAGATGACTTCATAATTGTTTACATTAATTATAATGGGCTGGGTTTGCTTTATATTAGCTCTTCTTTTTTTTTATTTTATGTATCTTTACTAACGAGTCTTCTTTGACTGGACTGGATAACACTTTGGATTGTGAAATAATGGTACATTAATGAACGATATAAAAAATATTGACGATTTATAGTATATTTTTTTGGACTGGATTTGATTGGATAACTCCCTTGATCGTGGAATAATAATGTGTAATTTAAAATAAATTTTTGCGACTGGGTTTGATATGTCTTTGGTTTTTTATTTTAATTATTTTTATATACTTCAATAATGCGTCTAATTCTTTAACTGGATTGAATAATTCGTGAAATGATGAAAAAAAATTAATGAGTGATATAGATAATAGATAATAGAAATATTAATATTAAATTTTTTGTGAACTGAATCAATGATTAATGTGTAATTTAGAAGATGAAATTGTATATATAACTTTTTTTGAACTGGATTTGTCACTCAACTCTGTGGATTAAAATGAATTATTAGAATATGCATCTGGGTTTGGTTTACTACGATTTGAATTTATTTTTTTAATTTTTTTTTATATAATAACTTTACTAACGAGTTTAATTCTTTCACTGGACTGGATAACGATTGGATTTGATGTAATGTGTATAAATGAGAATAATGATGAGAGTAATGTAGAATATATTAGATGTGAAATATTTTGGTATAGATGACAGGTTAGATCTGGAATACTCAGTGTTAAATTTTCTCTGGTTTGAGTTTTTTATAATGTGTATAAATGAGAATAATGATGAGTGTAATGTAGAATATATTAGATGTAAATTATTTTGGTATGGATGATGGGCTAGATATGGAATAATCAGTGTTAAATTTTCTCTGGTTTGGGTTTGCTACAATTTGAATTTAATTTTTTAATTTTTTTTTTATATAATAACTTTATTAACGTGTTTAATTCTTTGACTGGATTGGATAACGATTGGATTTAATGTAATGTGTATAAATGAGAATAATGAATTTAGACGCATTTAATAGGGAATTTTGTGGTATGAATGACAGGAATAATCAGTAGTTAATGTGTATCAGAATAAATTTTCTATGGATTATGTTTACTACGTGTCTAATTCTTTGATTCTTTGACTGAATTGGATTACATTTTGGATCTTAGTTTAATGTAGATTACAATTATAATATATTTTTTTTGAACTAGATTACTAACTTAATTGGTTGGTTTATGTATATGAGAATAAATTTTCTGTGGATTGGGTTTGAATTTGTTTATTCATTTTTTTTATATATATATAATAATAATAACTTTACTAACGCTTCTAATTCTTTGAATGGATTGGATAATAGACATAGATAACATAATACCCTTATGCGTATTAATGATAGTAATGTAAAACATAATAGATGGTGTAATATTGAATAATTTTTGAGGATTTGGTTTGTTATGATTTTTTAATTTTTTTTATATAATATTTTACTAACGCGCGTCTATTCCTTCGTGAAATATGGGAGAAATATCAAGGAGTTATTGTATTATGATTAAAAATTTCTGATATTATGGGTGTGCGAATGAATTAATTATATGACGAGTTAATAATAGATAGTGCCAATTTGGGAATGTTTATGATTAGGATAATATGAATTTTTGCTATATTATTTATAATTGGCGGTATGATTAGAAGAATATTTACATAAAATTTATTTGATTATTGAGTAGCATGGCTTTAAGGGATATTACTGTAAACTCGATGTTAGAGATATGAAATGAAATATGAGATGATATAAATAATTTTATTTTATGGATATTAGACGGATTGGATTTTTGAAAATTGGGTAGATAAGATGAGCTATTATTTTGGAATTGGAATTGATTTTGCCAATTTATTATTAATTTAATTTAATTATTTTTTTTTTAAAAAAAGCCAATTACTAATATTATTATTGCTTGATAGTAAATAATGGTTGAAGAAATTGATGATTAATAATTGGATTATTGAATATAGATATTATTGACATTTGATGTATAAAATTGGATTGGAAAATAACGTATATGCTGATGTTACAATTAGAGATTTTATGAAAATATTTTTTGGAGGGATATTTTTTCTTCTTTTTTTGCTCAAATCATTTATTTCAATATCAATGATTATTCAACGATTATATATGATATTAATATAATAATGAGATATTGATAAATTTGAGCTTATAAATTCTTAACTTTTATTTACATGATGTAAATATATAATTCTACTATTAATGTAATAAAAATATATATGATTAATTAGTTATTTTAAATATTTCTTATTCTTTGAAATAATAACATAGATTATTGAATAAAAAATATAAGTATTAAATTAATTATTAGAATATAAAGGTCATTTATTTTCAAAACTGTCAGGATATGAACATTTGTCTTATGTGGAAGGAATCCAATAAAAGAAAGGTTGATCTTTAAAAATAATTTTTCGCAATCTCAGGTTAGGC